GGACAGTCCAAGTGGTAGTCTGTACAACGAAACCACAAGTTGATTTCAATTGAACACCCAGAATGTGCTGCCCGGTCGTTTTTAAATTTGTTGACGGAGACCAAATCGCCCACAGAGTTTTTGGGGATCGCCATTGCATTCAGGGATCCTGTGCTGGGAGATCCAAGTTTTCTGGGCCAATCTAGTACCGTCGATGTTATGATGGTGCTATGCTTTATCATGTCCCCGCTTGTGTCGATACATGTTCTGTTGATATTAGAGTTGTCGAGGTCCCTCTTCCTTTTGCACTGCGCGTCTATGTTTACCCGTAAAGCACGCGTTTCCAAGAGTATAAAAGGAAAAGCTTGATAAACAATCAAGCCACCTCATACAGTGCGTTTACGCTTATTAACGTATGCATTAGACAACAGTCAGCAGTAGCACAAGCCGCAAAATACGATGATCTTAAGATGGAAACCATAAACAGATAGTTTAACCCACGACAATTATCGCACTTTGATCCCTTGCTGTGAAAAATGTGTTTATTTAGTAATTATCCATCTTGGACTTTAAAGTTTATTATTTATTTCATGAGCTTGTATTAAATGAATGAACGTTTTGGCAAGCTTATTGTTATTTCTGTACTGCTAGATGTTTTGGTAGTCTAGCCTATGCACTTAATTATTTCTAGTCAGTTTGTAAGACGTTTGTTGGCTTGTAACTCATGTAGTCTGTGTAACTGTGTTACTCACGACACAGTAGGGCTTTTCATGTTGTCTGCTGTCACACCATTAGGTGAGAGGTTGGTTGGTCGCACTTCAAAAATGATAAATAAAAACTTATTGTTTTTGAGTGAAGAATATATGGTGGTCAAAAGAAGTGAATTAATTAGCCAATTGACTAGTAACTCTAATGGTTTGAACAGACAGAATCGCAAAGGTGATAGGTATGAATGAATGATGGGAACAGAGGTAGAAACAAGCCAATGCTATGTGATAATGATAATGGTAGGTTAGTCACGAGATATCCGTCAGGTACAGCTAGTCTAATTGGGAGGTGGCAATCCATCGATGAATATGTATTTGTCAAGTCTCTTCCTGAAGCTATCCTTTTAGGAGGCTGTGGTTGCTGGGGACGGGAGAGTACTCTAAATGAGAGCGACTCGTAATGTACCTGGATTTTCACTCCTGGATATTGAACTCTTTGTTTAACGTACAGTATTTTTGTGTTATGTTAGTAGAGAGGCGGATTAAAGTACCTACATGAGCTAATACAGTCTCCAATCAAGTCTCATAAAATGAACTGGGCAAATTAAAAGTATGAATAGACTGTTCACTTGTGAAATAATTTGACGGAGCGCAGCGCACTATATAAAAGCGTTAAAGAGGAACCCTCGAGACAAAATATTGTTTGATATCTGAAGAATCTAACAAATTTAAATAGAGAGTGAATACATATTCTGGAATTTGTATCAAATCCAGTTTTCACTATCCAGAATCCGTAAGGTTGCCAAGCAGTAAGCTAGTGAATCGAAAGTAACAGAGAATATATTCAGGTGGACGTAGAACACTCTGTTATTCTTGCATTGTTAACTGAAATCTTAAAGCAAAGAAACTGCCCCTTTGTAATATACTCAGCAGTATAATCGATAGTTTCCAGAGTCGTATGATGAATTTTCAACAGGATATAACTTAGAACCTCGCGCACAATTCTGTAGTGTTTTCTTAAAATTCAGAGAGATACGACCACAGCTTTGACAGTCACTTATAATGTGACATAATAGACAGTTAAAAAGACTCAAAGATACTCTAGTTGTATATTGAACGAGTTTGCCTACTAATTATAAAACGCTGGTTGTGATCTTATTTACAACGTGCAGTCCAATCATGGTCCCATTTAGGTACATGCCTGGCACAAGATGAAAAGCCAAACAGAGAGGTCCAAAGCACCATAGTAGAATATGGCATCTCAATGATGCTGAAAGAGGGGAGGGGGCGGTGCACAGAAGAATATTGATACAGACACGAACCTTTATATATGTCCTTACAATTGATTGATCACTGAGCAGTGATCAATGTCATATGTCAGGTCCTTCATAGTGCAGGTCGAATTCTGTCCATCAAGTTGCAATGTGACCATTGGTCTAGGTAACTCGAGATCGCGGCCCGATAGCTCAGTGGTAACAGCTCTTACTGTGGAGTCAGGTGACACGGTATCGAATCCATGAGCGCGTATCAGTTCCCTCAAGATAAAAATTTTCTGAAGAGTGCCAGATAGCACGGAACTTAGGTCCAGGGTTTCCTATCGACTACCTCGAACCATAATCTCCTCACATATGCTCGGTGTACCTTGATGGGGAAGCCTATCCACCTTATCGAGAGCGATAATTTGGCAGGTAGAAACAGTTAGCCCGCGTTAGACACGTCGGGAATCTTTGTGAAACAATTGTGATTTCGGGGCGGTCACTTTCTATGGCTTATGGACGCAGTCAAATATCATGTGAAAAATCATCAGTCAGAACCCCGATTGATATGATTAGGTACATTTAAATTCACTAATTACATAGTCAGTCAGTGCCAGGAACCTTGATTCAAAATTCCAAGTCCTTATCGGTTCATGACTCTATAACTTCTCTGATCAGCTCTTGAGTTCAAAACGAACGATCAGACTCAAAGAATGTTGTATTTTGACCAGACGCACTTCATATACAAGCATACCAAATCAGATCAAAACTTAAAATGAAAATTACGACTAGATATGGTCAAACCAAAAAGTGGCTTATAGTAGTAGAGACTTTGAATAATAAACAGTCAACAGATTAAGAATAGCAAGTCATACAACTTTGATTAATTGGCTAATTGGAAGGTCAAAATAAAAGGCTTATACATATGTATAAATATATCATAATCTAGTTACTTAATAATTATAAAAAATCCATAAAATAATAGCTAATAAATTAGTTCTAGAAGTTGCCACTCCATCGATTCTTCCCTATATATATATATATATATATATATATATATATTCTGAATCGGTGTCCTTCGCCGAATTATTATCCTATATGAGCCCTTTCTAGCTCTGCTCATCAAAACAACTTCATGGCCATATCATTTTCAAATTTATAGATGGTGTTTCAGGGAAACACAGTCCTCAGGGCCCAATTAACTTGATTTCTAGCCTCTTAATGGAAATAATGGTAGTTCAATCTCAAAACACCGAAGTGGCAACAATTGACTGACTCCACTACTTCTACTGATTCCTGCACAGAGTTCGCAGTGAAATCTTGCTTGCCATTTCTGTAGAAATAAATTTATGGGAGATTTCTAGCCCACAAGTTCATTTACTTGGGTTACCCTAATACCCATCCAGTTGTTTGAAAATGAAGCTTACTTTCCAAGATCGTCAGGTCGTAGGTCATACATATCGCCTTTTTTTCTCTGATCTCTTTACCCGAGCTTACCAGACGTCGAATATGACCTTTCAGGTCATCATAGGTAATGCTCAACCCTCACTTAATGTACGGCAAGTTCAATCGGCTCCTTATCTTTTCTACCACTAGGTAAGGGGAATTTCGCTAAGTGTAATACTAAACTTTGAGTGCCATGAAACAAGACTGCACAAGCTGTTGTACTCGTCACTTCCGGTAATGTTTTTCACGAAAATCTTTTTCGTCAGGATTACCACTGTTCAGTCCGTATTGTCTAATTATAACCGTGCTCGTGAGACCTGGTAGGTCTGACTCTTGCTATCCAGTAGTTTCTTAACTAGTTTGCGACCTGTCAATTTTCACTTATATGGTCAAACAGTTTGAGAAAACTATTTTTGCTACTCAAAGGTCCCCTTAATGCAACTGTCTTGTCAAGATTATCACTGAAACTCGACTTAAAGTTCAAGTTCGGTCATTGTTTCAAAAATTATAGTGTTTCTTTTATCATTGCCCTCAAACAGTTGATTGATACGCAGGTTTTGTGAGGAGGCCATTTTGTGTTTCTTTAGAGATGCAAATATACACAGGTTCCAACAGTGTTTACATGGCACTCGCCATATTCAAAGAATTTCTGTAGTATTTAAAACAATACCAAATTCATTTCAAAGAAAAAAGGGGAGGGGAGAATGAAATGTATGTAAACAATTTAATGAGTATGCTTGTGAATTAGAGTGAGAATAAACTGAAATATACGTTGTACAGCAAGAATTCAAAGTCATTAACATAATATTACTTGATGGTAGATTATGCGTTCACGTAGTGATGTTTAAAATGATGCGGTGAAAGTTTTAAGTAATCACAATAATTTGTTCTCACATAACAATATCGCTGAAAAACTCTCATTATATCAGAACACAGATATATCGACGAAGAATATTCTTTTCAATAATCTCTCTTCACGTTCTATAATTATATACCCAAACTAGTAATCCAATTGTTAGAACATCTGTCAACGTTTTTTGAAGTATTTATTCAGAATCCTCCTTATTTATTAATTCATATTATTTTACACATTACGTGATTTCTGATTTGTGGTTACATTATTATCTCTCTCCGTTCGTGTTAACCATATTTGTTCTGATCATTTATCATACAATTTTTTAACGTATACATTTATCCAGGTTAACACTTTATAATGGTCATCACAACATCAATGATTCGATTTGATTTGATATCACAAACAATCCTTAGTTAATGTGGTATAATTTTATATGATGTACATTGCCTTAAACTTGTTCATTTTTCGAATTATTAATTTTAATATAAAATTTAGAAACTGAAGAAAAGTTATTTGAAGGAATATTCTTTGTTCATATATATGTGTTTTAAATAACAATATATGGCACGAGGCATAACAGTTTACAGGTAAGATCTTTATGTTTCAAATATTACTGGACTCACTGTTTTATGTTATTCGGCATGGCTGATATGTTATAAGACAGACTGATCATAGAAGCAGAGTGGTAAATTTGTGTACATAAAACATACTAATAACACATTCCTGGTATAGACGGCATGATCGATAATTTATAAAATGAGTTTACCGACAAGAATTCATCCAGGTGTGGTTGCTGAACAAATAAAATCAATGAAAATGTGTGATAGAGTAACCATACAGATATACTAACAATTTAATATATATGTTATATCCCGATAAGAATAATGAATGGTAATTTTTAGGATCCATTTATGGACCAATACTATGAGTATTGTCGGAAGCAGTTCCCTACAGGTTCAACTCTAAGCTAGTCCCTAGATTGTCAAATACAGAGTCTTGGTTCAGCCAAAGTCAGAACAAGTAAGCAATTCGGCTCGATAAACTTCATCTGTTTCTAAAACGTAAATTAACACTGTTAGTGTACAAAACAAAAGTACAGTCTATAAACACAGGGGAAAAATGGAGACAAATAACGTACAGAACAGTAGCTAGAGAGTAGAAAAAATGAGTCGACAAAGCAAATATTGTTTTATAATAAACATGGAATTGTGATTGGTGAGTAAATAGGACACAGACATACAAGGTCAAGAAAAGTTAGTGTAGTGTTGGGTGTTTCACTTTACTGTTGGCGGGTTCGTTTATCGATCACATTTTACAAGTATATTTTTATCGTGTAATTGTCACGTAACTAAACTGTTCATATGCATGTCCCTGTTATTATGAGTTTTATTTTGACCTATGAATCATTATTATACGATTTACCATTCTTGAATTATTCGTTGTCTGTTAATCACTACCTCCCACATTGACAGCCACATTTGACCAAATCTTGTACAAATGTTATTTTCTATTTTATGGTACGTTGTGGCCTGTTTGATTGTTATATAAACCCAGTATGTGTGAAATAAATGATTCATATTGCCGAGGCTGAGGTTGGTGTTCTCGACTTAACTGACTGGGCTAGACAGGGAGCGAGACCAATCAGGACTCTAGGCTGCTCTCATGTGTTTTATGCGTCACTGGTTTGATCGATAAGTCACTGCTCTTTGACTGGCGGTATCGCTGCGTTATACAATAAACAGGGCAAACAAGTTCACAAGTTATAACAAGATAGATTTGTGTGTTGTCACTGTACACTGAGTTTGTAACAGCTTAGATTGATTGGTTAAGAGTTGACCTCAAACAATTAAGTATATTATCAGAAGGGGTTTGTGGAGATTTTTTTTTTTTTTTAGAAATTTTCACAGATTGAAATCATGAGTCAGTTGAAGCTAGACCACCATTGAAAACCTGGAAGCACTGGACGGCCGTTTCGTCCTAGTATGGGACTCCTCAGCAGTGCGCATCCACGATCCCGCACCACGCGGGGCTCGAACCCAGGACCTACTGGCTTCGCGCGCGAGCACTTAACCATTAGACCACTGAGCCGGCATCCAACGGTGTTAATGTCTAACTTCAACCAATCCACGAAGTCAAGACAATAGAGCCTAATCATTCATTGACTTCCTTATTTTTTATAATAGAAGTAATTTATTCTCAAATAACAGTTTGTTACACGTGGCATGTCAGTTTACAGGCAAGATCAAATTGTTACAAACGACTCAATTTTCACTGTAGTAAGTTACTTAGCTGGGTTAATATTCTACAAGATATGAATTTAGATGGTTTTAGTTAGTATCACAGTTGGCGCGCTTTATGAAGGTTGCGTTGCGACGTGCAAATGATGGTCGAAAATAGATTCACTTGAAGTTGGGGGCTTCTAGAGATCGCAACCTTATATCCCTCTAGAATATCTGAGGCTTTAATGATGGCGCAGGACGAAGTCACCTTTCCATATTTGTTTTCAGTGGCATATTTCTAAGGGGCTGAAAAAGGGTGCAAGTAAAAGGAACGACGAGAAGTAGAGCAGACAATGTTCATGAAGGAGTAGCTAAGGTATGACTACTTAGTCTACTCAATCTTTTATTAAAGTATTCATTAAGCACGAGCAATCTAATAGGTTAAACAAAATAAGTGTAAACAAGTCATCAGTGTGTAGTGGCATTGGACAATAGCCACACAATCCACAAAGCTGTGAACACGAGACTACTCAGAAAATAGATATTCAATATTTAACGCGGAGAAATACCTAACGATGGAGAAGGCGCGAACAATCAATTGAATGGACTGGGTTTGATCGGATGGCATGGCTCGGCCATGCAGGCGTGGTCCATCTAGATGTTACCTTATATCTTCTATTCATATTAAATATATTGTTCCTTCTCTAGCCTAACCTTGTTCTACATCATGTATTGGTAATTGATACGATACAGTGAGTTGGCGTAGTCGATGGTGTAACTTCCAAGTAAGATCTTATAGATTAGGTAGTTATATCATGACAAATCTACAAATTTAGGATTAGGTCTATTATTAGAGCAGCACTAATATCATAGTTCTACATTGGTAAGCCCGACTAAAGAAACGCAACCTATTACAAATAATCCTTAATTCCACTTTAACTTTCTCGATCGATTTTATATTTATGTTAACCCAATATTCTAATAGTCCTCTGATTGATGCTCACATGTATTATCGTAATGTTATATTGATTAGTTCTCATAACATACTAGCTCAATCGATATTAAGAACTGGTCGTCTATATCAAGTAATTAGCTTTGATGGTTCGTTAACAAGCTTTAATAGCATTTACATGCTTCAGCGACATAGTGTTGGTTAAACATCAAGCTCTAGCAAATATGACCTGTAAATAGCGTAAATATACATCGACTAACAATGCAACCAAGGGCTAAATAGCTATCTGGATCTTATTCTCAGTGTTCCTTCACTTAACACTTCATCCTGTTTTAAACTATGCACTATCCTGTAATATTTTTTCTTCCGACCACTGCCTGCCTAATTTCATATTCTCGAGTTCCATTGCCAAACAACAAGGATGACACCTCAAAAAAATACGGTGAGTTCCAGCTATAAGTTTTCTGCAATCATAAGTTCATTTTAGATGGCTCATTCAATGGCACACACAATTATCTGGATTCATTCAGTTGTTCTGATCAGAGCGAGTCCCAAAAACCTCAACAGCATCAAGCACCCTGGAAGTGATTGCCATACTGCATGTTTTATTCTGGATGCTTTTGGATCATTACTACTCACGAATGGCGTTATATATGTCGTCCACTGAATAATCTAATTTTCAAAAATAATCCAGGCGAGTTCAACTATTTTACTTAATGATTTTTTTAACTTAACATGTATATGTTTTCCGGTTCCTTTTGCTATATATTTGTAAGTGTCCCTAGGCTAAATGCAGTAACTTCTTATGGAATGTTTATAACGCATCATATTCCTGCCTGAAGTTTCACAAGCAGTCTTAACTTTAAAATTATTTTCTGGTCATGTTCATTATTTTTAAATCGACCTATACGTCAACAACCTGCATGTTAACCTGGCCCATACATACGTTACACTATATCTCCATGTCTTCTAAATTTAGAAATCATCTGGATCGCCTTTAACATTTATCAATAAACCCATCATAGTCGTTGTTGCTAATCGTATTTGGGTTTATGGATTGGTTTATCATATTAGCAGCCTAAAATGCGAACATAGTTTAGATAATAAGATTAAAAATTTAGGTACTATCAACTGCACTAGTAAAATAACTAAATCCTCAGGTAGCTGTTGGCTAAACAAACGTTTAAAATCAAAACTCCGTAGCCTACTAGAATTAACACTAAACGAATATTTCTGAATTGAAATTTATAATTAAATTAGGCGTCTCGGATTCTTTAACGTTATAAATTTCTGATGATTTCGAATCACCTAAAGCAACAATACCTATTTTTCCACTGACTAATCCTCAATCAACACTATAACTAGTTAAATTTAATAGTTTCAGGATATCGTCATAAAGCATTGTCATAACTTGACAATCACGTAATATGACTGATAAAATTAATGAAACTATTAACAAAATCGGTCAACAAATTGACTTATAATTACCATTAAATGGTGTTGTTTTCTTGGTATCTTCATCCATCACAGATGATTACAGTATGTTTCTCTATCAGTTGCTCATTCAGTAAATATCTCAAAACCTTGTCAGTCTAATTGATGGTTTAGCGACACAATCATGCATGCAAATAATCAGTATAAGCAGTCGAGCAAATCTCCTGCAAACTGAAAACATCAATGTCGAATTTACCCCAACACTGACTAAGGTTCAAGCCATTATCATAGACATGAGTTGGGAGTGTACTCCCCTGGTTACAACTTATGTTCTCCCTGATAATCACATGAGCATCACTCACTATTAATCATCTTGTAAAAACTTATTTAGCTAAATACATCTTGCAGCACCACATCACTTCGTAATATGACACAGGCCTAACTGATTTTAATAACTTATAACCACTATATCTCAATTAAATCGTATTCCGCCTTATGATAAACTGCATACTTGCAACTAACTTGTATGCCCAATCAGCCAGCAAGTATAAATATAAATAAATAGTCTGCCGCAGATCAGAACATTGAGTCTAGAGCATGTCTCTTACGAATACACTCATGTTTAACGATTTGTTCCTAGCTATCTGTCCAAAATTCATATAATTATCACTCATGTATTTAAATTTTATTTTGATAACCATTCATGTGTATTAGTAGTATTACTAAATTCTATCACGGTCAAGTAAAAATGAGGTTGAGAAAATCTCCCCGTAACTAAATAAACCGTATCAAACTAACTGGAACACTAGTTGGAATTCTTCTCCACGGTATACTTTTGTTCCTTCAGTTAGCCTACTAATACAGATGCAATTGGAATTCAACTCATATGGACAACTTACCGGCATAATCGTTATTTGATTTCATAATTTAAACCAAAACTAATACCAATATTAACATTTCTACAATATTCATCACTTTAATATTTCTAAACACAAAATACTTACTACCTATACGTTAAGTTATTAACCAACGGCTATTAACACGCATCGTTTTATTATTATTATTATTGTAACCCCATTTTTTATAGCTCAAATAATCTTCACCCAAATTTTCATTTCAAGCGTTTTAAGCATGAAGGCAGATATTTTAAAATTATTACATGTATTTCCCGACCAGATGCTGCCGCTTCTTTTTTATTTATCTTTCAGCTTACCAATACCCGGAGGATTCTTATTATCCTTGGTAACCTCCGGCGCGCGACGATCCCATCCAATTTGGTATCGAACCAACATCACGTTGATTCTGGTGGGAGAGTAGTGTAGTGGCATTGGACAATAGCCACACAATCCACAAAGCTGTGAACACGAGACTACTCAGAAAATAGATATTCAATATTTAACGCGGAGAAATACCTAACGATGGAGAAGGCGCGAACAATGAATTGAATGGACTGGGGTTGATCGGATGGCATGGCTCGGCCATGCAGGCGTGGTCCATCTGAATGTTACCTTATATCTTCTATTCATATTAAATATATTGTTCCTTCTCTAGCCTAACCTTGTTCTACATCATGTATTGGTAATTGATACGATACAGTGAGTTGGCGTAGTCGATGGTGTGACTTCCACGTAAGATCTTATAGATTAGGCAGTTATATCATGACAAATCTACAAATTTAGGATTAGGTCTATTATTAGAGCAGCACTAATATCATAGTTCTACAAGTGGTTAAACAACTGACAAATGGAGGTGGTTCAGAAAGAAGCTGAGAGTATTGGATTATGTGTAGTTATTAAATATAGTGCTAAAAACAGCATTATGATACACAGATAACCGTCTCCTTTTTAGTCGAAGCTATTTGAGCCCTTCTTTAGATTTTGTTTAATTACGGCTCCTTATGTTTTAGTGGGATGTCACGAACTTATGGTATTGATGCTGATTTATCACGCAAAATACCTCCTTAAATCGTGTTACGAACGTTAAATTGGTTTCACTTCCTACCCAGAAATCCTATTACAAGCAAACTAGACAATTCGCCAATATACGAAGCCTACTCAAGACCCTATAATACCTGAAAAAAATAATAATACAAAAAAAACGAAAGGGGCTCTAATAGCTTCGATAATAAAAGGAAGATAGCCAATTGTATATCACAATACTGTTTCTAGCACTAGATTTTATTTTATAATCACACATAATCCCATACTCTCAGCTCCTTTACGAATCGCCTCCATTTGTCAGTTGTATGTCCACTCACACCTTGTTAACACTTATTTTCTTTAACCTATTAAAATGCTCTTTCTTAACAAATACCTTAATATAAGAAAATTAGACTGAGTAAATATACCTTAAGCATTCCTTCAAGAATATTGGTTACTCTGCCTCTCGTGTTTTCTTTTACTTGCTCCTTCTTTCAGCCCCCTTGAGATATGGAACGGGTGACTTCATCCTGCACCATCCTTAAAGCCTTGGATATTCCAAAGGGACATAAGGTTGCGATTTCTAGAAGCTCATACCTTCAATGGACCTATACTTGACCATCAGTCGCACATTCGCAACGCAACTTTCATGAAGCGCGCTAACTGTAGAACTGCTTAAAACCATCTACATTCATATCTCATAAATTATCAACCCAGCTATGTAATTTACTACAGTGAATATTGTATCATTTGTATCAATTTGATCTTGCCTGTAAACTGGCATGCCTCATGTAACAAACTGTTATTTGAGAATAAATTATTATTACTATTATTATTATGGGTCTTGAGTAGGCTTCGTTTTTAGAGGATTGTCTATTTTGCTTGTAATAGGATTACTTGGTAGGAAGTGAAACCAATTCAACGTTCTAAACACGATTTGATGGGGCACTTTGCATAATGAGTCAGCATCAATAACACTAGTTCGTGACATTCCACTAGACCATAAGGAGCCGTAATTAAACAAAATGTTCTGCCCTACAGACATGGGTGGATTGAAGTTGTCTCCCCACCATCGTGTTTGATGGTTAGTAACACCACCCACCCTCCTTTTGTGATGTTAGGCTCTCTTACGTTTGTGGTAATTATGAATCTTGCTTTAATCAAAGCCCATAGTTGGAATACACTGTCTCTACTAGTTCCATGTTACAAGCAAATCAGATGGTTAGAGCATTTGTATTATGGGTTGACGTTCATTTAGTATATTACACTGCTATGAAGATAACTAATGGTGAAAGGAGAAAAACCGGTTAGACTATATGTGGTTTAAAGATGGTAAGTATTAACAGCAAATCAAAAGATATGAAAGCGTATAAAATTGTGAAATTTTCAGGGTAAGAAAAATAAAACACTGAGCAACTCACAAGACTTTGGGACATTTTGAGCTCCGTATGATCGGCCTTGGTAGATCAGCATCCACAAGATTAGTGAGTTATCTGTGTACTTGCGATTGAAAAAAGGAAATGACGCTAGCGAACAATGATGTGTCTTTAACGATTAGAGAGATTCGGGAACTGAAAGTGAGGGTTAGGAGCATAATGCCATGAGAGGATAAACCATATGTTCTGTAATTTAGTTATATTCACGTTAATGACGATGGAGTTCGTTATATTGTTGTTCCGTTTAGATATTAGGTGGTCCATAATAAAGTGTCCCACTAGTGGGCCGGAGTTCAAGGAATAGTTGAAGCTCTTTAGAGTCTAGAAACAGGCTTATTAGCCTTTTCAACTTGGTAAAATTGTCACAGTTACGGATAGGTATTGGCAACCTGTTCCACAATAAACTATACCGTACTGTAAAAAACTCAAAACGCGTTTGTTTTTAGTGTTTTACGGAAAGTAGTGTATATGCGTTGTTTCTCAGTCTATAAGCTGGGTCATGGATGATAGTTGGGCAGGAGGTTGGAAATGGTAGTCTATATATCGCTTTGTAGAGAAATGTTAAATTGTTGTTTAGCTTACGGTGCCACAAAGGTTCTAAAGAGAGGTGCTTACATCTATATGTATAATCGAGATTGGAGTTGCTTCCTAGTAGTCAAGGTGTGAAGCGTCTTTGAACGTCTTCTATTCTTATCTTGTCTGTGGTATTCCTATTAGAGAAGATAAAATAGCAGTATTCAAGAGAAGGTCGTACACATATTTTGTAGAGAGTAAGCTCAGCCTCTGTTGTGAAGAAATTCCTCATTATGAAGCCAATTTACCGTCTACATTTAGAAATAACAGAGGAGGCATGTTCTTAAAGTTCAGGCTTCCTGTGTAATTAATTCTTAGATCGTGTACTGAATTGAATGTCTGGACTCTACTTTTATTTAAGTGAAGTTGCAGTTCATAGGGATGCTTTCCAAAGTGAATGATCCCGCTCTTGTTGAGGTTGAAAGGTAATTTCTATTTTTCACTCCAGATAGTTAAGTTATTGAGGTCATTTTGGATCAGGGATACACTTTCACCGAGAGTCTCAGGCTTATAGCTGTATACTATTTTAAGATCATCAGATTATAAATATGGTTTCCTAAATTTCATGATGTTACATATATCGTTTATATACATAAGAAACAAGAGTGGACGCTTCCCTAGATGACTCCACTGGTTATTAGTCTAGGTGGTGAGAGACAGTCATTGTACTTGAACATCTGTCTGCGTTCCGTTAGGAAGGAAGCAAACCACGAGTATAGTAGGTTGTTGATTCCGAAGGACTTTAGTTTGACGAGAGGCTTTATATGTGGGATGTTATCAAAGGCTTTCCTAAAGTCTTAGAGGAAAACTGATACAAGGAGTCCGTTGTCTCGTTTCAGAGTTATATCAATCAGGTAGTCTACTAGGCATGTATCACAAAGTTGACTGGAATAACTTCCACAAGTACCTATGAGGCACTAGTTCGGGAAGTTTCTTTACTGCAAACAATATCGATACACTAACCAATATATTTTATCTCAACATCAGAAGTATCATCAACAAAATCGCACCTTTAGAATGCTTGAGACCTACGTTCTCTAAAGATCTCCATATACCGGTCGGTACACGAAAACGTCTTAAAAGACATTGTACTCTATTCCACAAATTTAATGACATTTCCTTCTTAGTAACGATGGCAGAAATATCTGAACGAACAGAGGCAATACGTACACAAAAATCAGTTTCACAGGAAAAACGTGCAGTCGAACTTAGTCTTTGTCACTAATTTGTATAACTTGATTGGTTTCTTTGCACTCGTTTCTTGTTGTTTCAATACGGTTTCAGGTATTTGTTGATTTCCATTAGGCGGTAGTCTAGTCACTCGAATGCATTAATTCTAGTCAATGTGATAATTATTTATGGATTTATATGTCTTTTAGTCGAGTGAGCGCGTTCGTTTCAGTTCAATAGGGTACTTATCACATTAACAGTTAGAAGTTTAGTTGGTCGAAACGTGGAAATGATGAAATGATAATGATAATAATGAATAAATAGTTTAACTGGTAATGTGCTAGAAGATGGAATAAGAGCGGAGATTATAGTAAGGGAGATAGAAAGTAGTTACTGAATGTGCGGTAACGTATTCGCGATAATTTAAGAAACGTAAATCAGGCACAGCTGGCTTACTATGGAAATGGTAATCCATTTACGAGTACGTGTTTGTTAAGTCTCTTCTCATGGTAATCCATTAAGAAAGCTGTGGTCACTTCGGATGTAGAATATCCCATATAAGGGGAACTCTTAGTGAGAAAAAGTGTTGGAGCATCTGTATGAGTGCTCTTTGATGTGCAATCTTTCGATGGTTGCCTCTAGGATCGTGGTGGTGATCTGGTAGTATACCAGTGTTGGAGAGACTCGGCGTACTTAATATATGTTATGTGATTATCAGACCACCTCTTATTACCCTCTGGCTCAACGATAATAATTCTAAATGTTAGATTCTGTTCGCAATATTTATGTTCTATTCTAGTGACTCACTTGATCGCTCTCTCTGTACTACATATCTTTGGAAGAGATGGGGGAGCAACGATATGATGTCCTCTTGTGTATATTTTTAGGACAGCAAGGAACATTTACGCCTTAGATTCAATTATTTAAAACACATATCTTCAGTAAATAAAACAATTCTATTCTTGTCACCTTTCGTGATCTTCCACTAACTTTGTTTAAGCTCTTCAAGCACTTCGTACCTCCAACGGTTGCTCGTTTCAAACGGTCCGTAAACTTGGGATTTACATCGAGTTTTCTGGTTTAAATACCGTGATTATTTATTTTTATGAGACCAGTTAGTTTTCAAATATGTTTTGAGCACTATCAAAGCGCATTGGTTTGTACACTAACCTAGATTGTTTGTTACCGAAAGCCTCATTTGTTCGTAATTTGGAATATCAGATCACTAGTTAAACGTATAGAATTGAAGCTAATAAGAGAATAGAAATAATTAGCGATAAAAACATTGAGTCCAGACATAAATGGTCCAATATATCACCACAGATTCTGCAAATAATAATAGAGATATAATATTGTATTATCTGCCGATGGAACTACCGCTTATAATGCATCCAGTATTTCCACCTCAAAAATGTCTCAGTACCGTGAGTTTTTGAAAAAATTAGGCTACAAGATGAGGTTTTCATCTGTTCAAGCTTCACTTAGACAATTATACAGGTAATTTGAGTTACAACTTCTAAAAATCACTGTATTGAATTACTTTAAATATGCAGCTCTGTGGCACTGATTTAATTTATTTTTATTTCACCAGAGTAAAGACAGTAATGCGGCTTCTGCTTCTCCTGGCGATTAGTTCTGGTTAAATTCGTTTATGAATATTTAGAAAAAAATTTCGGTATCATTCCCTTGAGCAAGGATTTACAGATGTTAGCTTCACTGTGTAAATAATTGAATTTTGTTTGATATTTATCCAGTGATTATGTCTTGTACTCTGTAAGATGGCTATAGTAACTTTTATTTCTAAGGTGATTAAATGACACTCCTTGTTCATAGTCTAGTCGTTATTTAAGGTTATGAAATTCAGTTTAAAATCCTCTTCAATTCGACTAACAATTTGTTATATAGAGGCTTTCATATGGTAAGTGGATATTTCAGGGAAATATGTCGTTACATTTCGCATTTCGGATACAGTGTTATGTACGTATAGTACTCTTCTTTCAACTTTCTTTTGTATGTATCATTACCAAGGTTGATTTGATAATTTCGAATACATTGAGCATTTGGTAGATAGTTATAACTAAATAAGATATTTCGTTTTTATGTATTTAAGTTCTTTATTTAACTTATCTAACAGAAAAACGGTATCATTCTTGTCAGTAATAATTATTCTGTATCTTTGCACATATATATTTCTGTGTTTATATGATTGATCATGTATTAAAACCCAATCGTAAACTTCTCCTTTTTTTAAATGTCGGTTACTCTAAACGCTTGACTACTCATCCGTCCTTCTCAAACTCCTTTAACACCCTTAAACGTTAATTACCTTTTACGTTATGGGCTTTTCAATCATCTCATTAGTTCTGTATTGAAATAAATGTTGCGATGACTTTATATTTGCCTTCTGAAGACATTTCAAGACAAAACTAATGGTCCTATCAGTTGTATACAACTTTCAAAAACTTTAGAGACTCTGTTTAGCAATTAAGAAACCTGTAGATCTTTTTTGTTGAACTTCAATGTGCTTCCATTTTGTTGTGTAAAATTTACTAAATAATTTCGATCTAACTGATTAAAAACTTAAGTTCAAATCTTCGGCATCTCAGAAAATTTTTCGGGTTTTATTTTAGACAGTTCTATATAATTTGACTGAAGTCACGAAATATTTGTGTAGTGTGGAATGTTTTGCATATAGTTAGCCTATGTAGCTTTACGCCATCATCAAATAGAAACTGTTATGACTTTATGTCCGGCTTTTTATCACGTGATTTATCCACCAATCAAAATACAACTTAAACAATCTTAGCACTGTGCTAAACCAATGGCATTCGACCGGTATGGGCAGCCCAACGTTCTTATTGGTCCTATGTCTGCTTAACCCGTCCACTTAAGTCCAGAACAACAATACCAGCTTCCGCTATGCGAATCTAATAATTTATTTCAGACATGCTGGGTTTATATATCGAACAAAACAGACCGCAACGCACCATAAAATAGGAAATAACGTTTGTACACAATAAAGCCAAAAAGTGACTGTGAACGTGGGAGTCAGTAGTCAATCAACTGAACATAGCTTAAGAACAGTAAATCATACAATAATAAATTATAGGTCAAAATAAAGCTTATAACAAGGGGAATATAGATATACATAATCTAGTTACCAAATATTTATACCATGAGAATATATAAATAATAATAGTCCATTAATAAGTCTCAGACGTTACTCGTAAGTTAATCCTCACTAGGATATAACAGAAACATGTATCTCTAGAAATCTGTCAAAAGGATGCAAAAGTAATGCACACGCAGTTATGCTTTGTAGAAATCTTGTTATCCACAATTTTCCAGCACATCAATGTCTTTCTTACAAAGTGTAACTTAAATCCACTTAGTGAAATAGAAAGATTTTATGTACCATAACCAGACACTTTGAATGTGAATGGTCTCACTTACTGATTTCTTATTCATGAGGTACAGTGCCTTGATTGTAAAGATACAGTGTTCGCCTTCAGTTCTAAAGTGTTTCGTTTTCACCAGGCTAAATTCGAAACTCATTTTTACTCCAAGTAACTTTTTACGATGGTCTCAGTTTTTATTTATATTTCGTATTTTGAAATACTACAGTTTTATTATACCGTCCATGCAGATATGGAACAGATGAATTATATACTAATGTTACGAAATAAATTACGTGAATTTTATTATTATTGTCCAAAAGCATATTATCCTTAAAGACATTATGTGAAAACAACAAAATACTTATTCACTAATATCTATTTGGTTGTTGTCGTGGTCACTTTGTTAGGTTCAAATGATGTTAGGGAGACTAAATAATAGACGTTTTCTATAGAAAAACTGTGATTACAGTTAAAGACAACACTTTCCACTTTCGGCATCGTCTGAAATCTATGCAAAAATTAAGAAGTGTATATCGCTTCGTTATAAACTCGATATTTCCAAACATCTCTGAGAGATGTATTTTACCTTCTGTTTAAGAAAATGTAGAGCTGACGAGAAATCTGGGTTTATCTAGCTTATTTCAATCTCAGCAAATATGTTTTTATTTAAGGTTCTAACTTATACATTGCACAAATGAACTGATTCTTCACCCAGATGAGACAATGTGCTATGAAAGTGTTTCTACCAAGATTTACGAACATGAATTATTGTGTTGATATGTATTTGTAATTAGGTTGTTTACATTACTTAATTATTACTAGTTTGTATTTTTGTACTCTTATGAATACTTCTTTATGTATAATAAAAGGCCGTTTGCTTTAATTTTCTAAACTTCACACATCCCCATAATTTAAATGAAAAGTTATTTTATCGACTGAAACTGTTCGTTAATACACTACTCCTTTAATATCCTAGTTTGACCATCACATAATTATCGATTAAGTACAATCCAAACCACAATTTTCTGTAGCATAATGAATATATATTTCAAGCTACTGTGACACAGTAACTTCGTTGGCCACGTTTCTTTAGTATTCCTTTTATATCATTTAGTTTTATTTTTCAGTCTTTAAATTCTATTCGACGTATTGTAGTACATGTTTAGCGTATAACTGAATATGGTTGTAAGGTGATAAAAAACTGAGCATCTCTGGTTTGTGAACTACTTAATCTATTCAACAAACTTTCAGTAACTAAAGTGATTACTTATTTCACAGCAAGTATTAAGTATGATTTGTAATAGTTTTCTGCTAATCTTCTACCTTTTCAAAACATTAACATTATAATTTTTGGAATATTTAAGTTAACTTGGTTCATAGAACTTCACAAACTAACTTGAAATTTCTGATAGCAGGATAGATTAAATAAAGCCAAAATTTGCATGAGATGTCCGCTGTTAGTGTTATCATATACTTTTTTGGCGCTACATCAGAAACTCCGACTTCAGAAAAGCAAAGTGGTTATGCCTGAAGACTGAAGAGTGAATCTAGTTTATTACTTTCTTTTTGTTACAATCTACATTTAATGTGAAACAATCATAAACTTTAGATATATTATAAGGTGACCTGTATATACATATATATGTCAGAGTTCTGAATAAATAAAGGCAATTTATTTCCTAATATTCCGCCACATAAACTTCATCTTTATTATTCGGACTAACACTTAAATTTAAAATACGTGAAATATCAGAGAACTAAACTCGAACAGTGAAATTTCGGCAAAATAATTAAAATGTGTCCTTACTTTTCATATAGATAGTTTTCCTGAGATTGATATAACTTGAATATTTCAAGAGACGAACTGGGATCAGGTGAGGAACTACTTGGGCCCAAAGATCACCGAGAAGCTTTTTTGATTTGATTTGTGACTTAAGTTCTATCATCTTAATTGATTCACTACTCAGTACTATTTTTATCGACGAGCTACTAATCCAGTCACAGTTAGATTGACTTCAGGAATTCCGAGTCCTCACTAAAAATTCGAAGGCTTCATGTTATTTGTAAAACGATAGAAAAAGAATTACACAGCATATGCGCAAAAGAGTCATTTGAGCTGGATAAGTTCATTTTACAATAATGATCATGATATCTAAACTTACAATCTGTTAAAGTAAGTGAGAACAGTTATTAGTTTGAAATTAGGTTAATATCGGTATGTTGCCGTATGAGAGTCTCTAGCAAACAAAAACGTAGCAACAATTTAGTTCAAAATTAATAATTTCAGGTTTTCGTATACCGGTAATCCCAAGAGTACTTGATGGCAATTTTTTCAGGAATCTATAATGTACTTTTTCCGTATAATTTCTGCTTCACTTAAGGCGTTAAAAAATAATTCACGACCGGTGATTATTTTTATCTCATTAAATCTATGGCAAGTAAAATAAAACTAGAATTCATTTTTGTCCTATAAATCTTTTCATTGCTATCATGTTGAAAACCATTTAAAATGACAGACTTGGACGATTTCTAGGAAATAACTCGACATCCAATCGATATTTCATTAATCAGTTTGTCAGATAACTAGGAAAGCGGAAATCCATCCGACTCTGTGATAGTACTGGTAATCAAATCTTGTTTTTTTAATATTATGAATATAATTCTAGGTATTTAGTTTTAGATCCAGTAAATGTATTTTTATCAAAGATCAGTGTGTTGATGATGTTAAACATTACTAAAAAATTGTACAGTAGTGACTAATATGTGATGATAAAATTGCGAAAATTTGATTCAACGTAAGTTATTTTAGAACTGATATCTACTGTGATTGATTAAAGTGATATGTAATAAATGCCGTCAAGGCTTTGTGAGTATTATTGTCGATGTAAGTCCGTTACGAAATTTATAGACAAAATGCATTATTTTACTTTTCGAATGTATAAACAAACCCTTTCTAATAATATTAGTCATTTGCATGATTCGAAAATCATCTAGAAATTAATTTTTGTATTAATAGTTATTTTACATCTAAATATCATGTCATTGACTGGTTAATTCCATTATTATTAATGATTCTTGTTTTTCTTAATACAACAGATGCTTGACTAATGAGTAATGATACGTATATAGATTCATATATTTTAGTATTCGGAACAAAATATTTTTAAAGCACCATTTGTTAACTAGCATATAGTATAAAAAACATGATGCTCTAACTGACCTATAAAACTGTTAGTTTTCAATATAACTAAACTCTCGAAAAACTAGTTTAGTGTAGATAATAAATTAAACAATATAGCTCCTTTTAAAATAAATCTAGAGTCTGATTGAGGATTGTGAAGCCCGTCAAGATGACACATATAATGACAGCTATTCATCTATTTTAGTAAAACAAATCAGATGCGTATGGTCCGTCAAACGTTTAGGTCACCGATCTGCTTCCCAGATGTTTACTCATGAACTTAATTTAAGGAAATCTTCATAGCAAAATATATCAACCTTTGAAATGAGAAGCAGATAGTATACATCATAGATAGCATCCGTTTGATCACATTTTAGTTAAGGTAATCCTTTACCTGTATGACAAGTATATTTCAAATTCTCTTCCTCATAACCCTATTCTCAGTAATCAGGGAAATATGAAAACTTCAATAAACTGATTAAAAAAATTTATTTGTACACCACTAAAAGTTTATCTAATTCAGGCTTAAAACGGAGGATGACACACATTGTTAAAGTGTTGTCAGTTTATGCATAGAATCTTATTTGTAGGGGTTCTACTCAATTTTGCTTGTACGATATACAAGTTTATCTGTTTGGGAAACCCTCTTCTCTCGTTACTTAGTGATAATTACAGATGTTATGTGAAGATACAACATATCTCAAACTGGTTTAACAACTACACTGATCACACTTTGTCCCGTATCACTTGTATTACGACTATATAAATCGTTCTTTGAGGTACGTTGTATGAATGAGAAGTGGTAGCGGCCGACTTCCTAAACCAAAGTTGGTAGACGTGTAACATAGTGCTTGAAACTTGACTGATTCAATCTCTATTCCACCACTTCCAAACATTAGGTTAGTCCACATTGTATTGCTCTTATCGTTCGACAGCTTGATAGAAGTTAGTTCTACTTGATACTGGTTAGTTTTCATGACGTTAGCACAACTTGGTAAGGTGATTCAATATAATTAACTCGTGACAGTTTGATAATAATAATAATAACAGTAATAATAATAGTGTACCTCTCATATTTGAAATCACTATCACTTGGTTATTGAATATGAATCGATCAAAGATGAATCTACATCAAAAATGATTTATTACCAGTAATTTTATGATAGGTTGCGCGTTACAATCTTTCGAACTCGTAGAATCCGTGTTCTGAATAGTGTAGGATGTGAACATTGATAACAAGGGTTCAAGAATATGATTCATTCATTAGTTGGTGTTACATAGAATTTGAGACTAGTTTTCAAGTATGCTCATCACTCTCTAAATACCTTATCATCAAAGTCACTCACATATTTTATAAAACACCATAGGATGGTAATTTTTTCTTCGAATATTACATGTCCAAACTATCTGACCTTCGTCCTAATTGGAAGACTTAATTTTCGTTATAGAAATTCAGACTGAAGTTGGGCGGAGACAAGATCAGAGTGATTCAAGCATTTAACGACTTCTATCATTTGCTTATTCCAACTTGAATAATCATACACTTTCCACCCAGAAATACAATTTACAGTTATTTGCTATAATTATTGACATTATTAATATTAATCGTATTATATGCAATTGTGACTTTATTTTGAATTTCCGTAGATAATAATAATATAAGCCAATTATTATCACAATCAGCATTGAATATTCAACAATTAGAGCGAACAAGTAATTATTTACGAGTAAAAATTGACCAAGATAACTGTATGCATATACATATTTAATAGGTTATTAAGGTATGTTTTCCTAATCATTTTCTCTGTAATTATTCAGTTCATTCATGAATTCCCATTTAATTGCAGTAATATCTCTCTCTCTGTTGTTGTTGTATTTTCTTGACGGAAACCTTTCATCATAAGACAGGTGTATTCGAACGGTAATTTAAATATCTGCAGATACGAAGCAGATATGAACGGTTTGATTCAATGGTTGATTTTGTAATAGTATTTTGATGAGAAGCGTCCATTTCACTTTGTAATAGTTTGTAGGAGATATGTAGTTAATCATATAACTACTTATTGCAGTTGATATAACGACTCAGTCATGACCACTTACGGAGATGGAATTAGTTGAATCAAAGCCTGACAAATGAACAGATAATAGAAGACAGAACACAACACTAGACAAATTTCAGGTTTTCTCATTACAAAATACTTTTAAGCAAAATGTTGGCAAGGAAACTGGACCTGTTTTAGAGTTGTCAAAACAATATAGTCAACAGTGAGCTGTGGTGCTGTTGTCATTTATTGGCAAATGAAATTGAGAATCCACAATTACTCTTAATTCTTGTTAGTAATGAGGATGAGACCATCAGTGTTCATTTATTCATTCATTCGAGCGATATTGTGACGACGTTTTACACTACTTTGAACATGCATATCGTGGCGAGCAGAGATTTGTCAGATAACTATTGAGAAATGGAGACTATCGGACAATTGCTCGATTCTAGCTACAGGCTCTTCGACTGTACTGCCCTTCAACAACTCACACAAAGATTTAAATCTACGACCTTAATGTTTTATGATAATCTGATATTTCCAAGTCAATGGATAAATTCCATCCGATATGCGGTATGACACGATCTTCATCTTCACAAATAATCAGTTTTGAAGTGTACTTTGTAAATTCTTTTGAGAAGCATAAAACCTTTGAATTTCACTGTGTCGGGAGTGATGCTACTATTCCAATGACGACACAGTAAGGGTTTGTATTCTCCCGTCGTTGTTAACATTTATGATTGGTTGGTCTCCACTGATACGTGTGCATCCGGAGTGGATTACTCCGATAAGTTTTAGGAGTTGCAGGCAAATCTACCTGGTTAGTGGCTAAGTGGATTCTACTACTAGCCATTATCTGATTTGAATCGTAATTTGAACGTTCTGCTTATCCATTGCTTAGACTAGATAAGTTATCGTTCACTTCGATGGATTATGAATTGATAATCTAGTTACTATTTAGTAATAGTCAATAAAGGAACATCCTCAATGTTTGTCCAATGCTTCATTGTTCTCTTTACATGACACACTAAGATTTCACACTAAGTAGCTGGTCATTTCATGTTTGATTTATTGTTTTTATTTTATGAGTTGTCATTGTTTGATTGAAACACACATGCTAAATATCTTGATACCACCTCTGTACTTTAAGCTTACAGACACAACAACTATTGTTGTTATTATTATTACAATCCCCGTCAACCGACTTACCAACCTTTCCTAGTACCGTGTGGCTGATCTCAATATTATTCACTTGATAGTCCAAACATATACGAGGAGTGCTCCAGAGATACCGATGAAAAGAAGCCTGAAGTCTACGCTTGCCTTTGACGTGTATAAATAAGTGCGTGGAATAAAGTATTTGGACTGAAATACGACATAAAATTACACATTTTTGTCGGAAAGATAATGTCATGAAATCCTAATATTCAGTGTGTGATTTGTTAAGCTTCTGATCCTTCGAAAGTAAGCGAAATGTTCTGAGATTTTCTGTGGTATATTATCATTTAGCTTGGAAGATTGTGGAGATGGCATAACAAGAAAAATGTTCACATAATCGATTGATCTTAACTAGATAATCATCAGAAACTTAGGACTATTTTACAATTGGCTCCCTGACCTCAATATTTTTTACTTGATAGTCCAAACATATATGAGAAGTGGATTCTACTACTAGCCATTATCTGATTTGAGTCGTAATTTGAAAGTTCTGCTTATCCATCGCCTAGACTAGATGGTGAGACTATAATTTATGTGCGACCTTTGGGCGACGCTAATCTGACCTCAAGAGTGTCCACCTGATATCTAGGATAGGATGAGGGTTATAATTTAGTGTGAGGAATTGGAATTCTGATTTACAGTTGATGGTTAAGGTTAGGAGATAGATTTAGGGTTTTCATCACGTATTGACATCAGTTATAATGCCATGAATCTATTTAGCCAGATGGATGAGTGAATTTTGCGCCAAAATCCGAGACCTGCTGTCTTATACCTGATTGGTTCTCCCATAAATTATAAGTTAACCTTCATTTCAATGAATTATAAATTGATAATCTAGTTATTATTTTGTAATAATCAATAGAGGAACATCCTCGATGTTTGTCAAATGCTTCATTATTCTTTTTACATGAAACACTAAGATTTCACACTAAGTAGCTGGTCATTTCATGTTTGATTTATTGTTTTTATTTTATGAGTTATCATTGTTTGATCGTAACACACAATTATGTGAAATGGGAATGTTATAAAACTATGTATTTTGACATATTCATTCAATTTCTCTCCATAATTGTAATCCTTTTTGAATCGTATACTTGCAGATCTGTTCATGAGTCTTACATCAAATGTATTTGATCAATAGTAATAATAACAATTGTAATAATAATTGCAATGTCTACACAAGATAGTCTGGTTATAAGTGGACAGTTAGAAATATATCTCCGTAATACATGGATACCAATCAAAGCAACTTTGCAAAATGATGCTTTGGTTATTGAATTGGAACACACTCCAAGTATTTCTAGCAATCACCACGGTTAGTTTAAATTTGATGTGTTGTAAACGTTTTATTTAAGAGTTCAGGGAAAGATGAAAATAAATATTCGTTCGCCCTATCTGTTTTTGTCTAAGTGTTAAAATGGGAACTTCCTCTTTTATAGTATATTCAATTAGGTAGTGCACCATCCATCACAGTGGTATACAAAATAAAATGATTCTTAATATCATTCTGTTCAAATAAGCAAACTAACGTTTGATAAATGTCTTGGGGAGGGGCAACTATTGTTATATCCTAGTGAGAATCAAATTATGGGTAACTTCCGAAAACTATTAATGGACTAATATTATATATATATATATAATTCCTGTTATATAACTGTTCAGTAACTAGATTATGGATATCTATATTCCTTTTATTATAAGCTTCATTTTGACCTATAGATTATTATTATACAACTTACTATTCTTAAATTATGTTCATTTTATTAATTGCCGTCTCCCACAATCACAGCCACATTTTGGCTAGATCTGGTGTAAATGTTATGTCCTATTTTATGATGTCATGAAGTCTATTTGGCTTGTATATAAACCAAGTATGTTTTGAATAGGCGATTCCCATAGTGTAGGCTGCTATTGGTGTTCTGTATTCAACTGAGCATGCTAGGCGAACAAAGGACCAATAAGGATGCTAGGTTACTCATACCGGTCTAACGTCATGGTTTAGCACAGTACTAAGATTGAATAAGTCATATTTCGATTAGCGAATAAACCACGTGATGACTAGCCGGGTTTAAAGACACGACAACAATTATTATTGTTGTTATTAGCTTTCTTATTATCAGAACAGCCACTGATATCTTCTTGCCAAACCATGCTAAGTATTTCGACAGCACCTCTGTACTTTAAGCTGAGTGCCTTCATGGTGAATGGAGTTACAGTGAGTGACAGTATTGAAGTTCTCAATATTACTTTGCCAGTGGGGGACAAAGACAGGAAATTGAACAGTTGAAATGTTTCTAATAACCTCAAGTATATTTTTATTTATGATTTTAAATGAAGGTGACTTTCCTTTTTACTAGTTTCAGTTATGAAGGGCGAGTGCGTCCGCTCCACGGTGACTGATTTTGAGACATGTCACCCAGTGTATTCAACCACAGATAACAGTCGTAACACTGACCCAAACCACGTAGTCTGCATCAATCTATATGGTTCAGATAAACAGTTATTGACTGATGCCGTGTTTTGACTCGGTAGAGCCTAGATTTCTTCTAACCTACTCCCACATAAAAAAACATCGTCCATCCAGGTGGTCGATGATTATAGATACGTGACGCATGTCCTAGCTACCTCAGTCGAGAAATTACAACCCCGTCAACCGACTTGCCAACCTTTCCTAGTACCGTGTGGCTGACCTCAATATTACTCACTCGATAGTCCAAACATATACGGGCAATGCTCCAGAGATACCGATGAAAAGAAGCCTGAAGCCTACGGTTGTGTTCATCTTTCAAATACCATGTTTCACAGTAAAAGAGCAATACAAAGCGAATAGTTGTATAGTAAAGTAATTTTCCATTATTAAACTGCACTTATATTGAGTAGGGTCGGTAATCACTTTTAGTCGACGCTTTTTCTGATGCCTATGAATAATTCCAACACTATGGGTAGACATTTTTGATTAGATCATGAGAAAAGCTGCTCTTCCATAAAATGCACAACCTTTTCCTTGAACTCTCCATAAGGTCAATTTTTGAGGTTGGATTTATTTCTTATGAACAGCGCTTATGCGTAAATGTTCTTATTGTGTTTTGGATTTGTTGTTATGGTAACAGTATGACATTCGTGTAGACTGACTTGAAGAACACATTTGTTGTAATACTACTTGTCCAGTTACTTATTTCTGTTATCCTCGTGGAGCATAGGTCACTGACAAGGATTCTTCAACCAACTCTGTCCTGTTCTTTCCTTTCCAGTTGTTCACAAGTGCTATTTATTCTTTTGATGTCTACCTACAATTCTAGGCTGAATATGTTATTTGGTCCGACACGTTTCCTTTTTCATTGAGGACTCCAAGTTAGGGCTTGGCTCTTCATGCACTTTGAAAATTTCTGTAATGTCGTCTATCCACGTCCAACGTTTTTTCCTAATTTCTTCTTTATAGTAGGTTATTTCTGATAGTGTCCGATCAAAGTATGTGGATAATCTTGCCTAAATGACTGATTATTACTACCTTATTTCTTTTCGACGATGGTTGCAATAGATCTCGTTAAATCGTCTCTGAACGTCTTTTTATCTACAGCCCTGAAGATATGTCAGTTTTGTTTCAGTCTTCTGATATTTTCTATGTAATTACTGTCTTTAGTGCGTTATCATTTAAATTTACCAAAAGTCTGACATTAAAATACATAGAAGCAATTTGTTTCAATTATTTGTTAAAGTTTCCCTTGGATTTTGCTCAAGTCACAGAATTCAGTGTCCACGGTAAAGATAAATTAATAATGATTAATTTATCATCAATTCTACTGAGTTTTTATCCTGAGGGTAAATATATACTTTATAATTGAACGAATAAGTTTTCAAATGCTTCTTAAAAGGTTTAGAAGAAGAAATCGCAATTCGAAAACAATTATGACGTAAGAAAAGATTGGGTCAACCATCCAATTATGCTTTGTTCACTTGATATATTTCTGCATTCAATGTTACCCAAACAGTACTGCAAAAATAGCTCATTTTAATATGAATCTCCAAATTTATGAAAATAATTTATTTCTACGGGCTTTACAGGTCGTGTATTATTTTGTTTTATTCTATTGTTTACCATAGCTTTTAAAGTTCTGTACATTCGACGTCAATTTCTAAAACTATAGATTGATGTTTGTCAGGGAACTAGTCAAAACTAAAGTAGTAAAGTGTTCGTTAAAATACCCTTAGTAACATACACTTTTGACTCCAGGATCTCATTGTCTCCAGCCTTTGCGGTTAGCACAATATTAGTGAACCACTAATTTTGAATAAACTATACCATTAACCATGAAATTTGTAGGTTGTAGATCTGATCTCACAAAACGTTTCAGGTGTTCACTTGTAAGAAGTCTGAAATATGTTGAATGCTTCTCAGATTACTATGATTATTTCAGCTGATATTAATTTTTGACGGAACATGTTTTTAAAACGCTATCTAATCGAGATATCGTTAAGTGCATGTGACGTATGAAGTAATAAAAAACTGCTTTCTAATTTAATTCAGATCAAGAATATTCTGTCTATTTATCATTATATGACTTCATTTTTTAATATTTTGATGTTGTTTTACGGCTGAATAGTCATGTAATGCGACTAAAAGTAAATGTTTATTGATTAAGAGAGATAAATAGTTAGACAGATAAATGAAGAATAAAAATGTCGAAGAAAGTCTATCTTTTATTAACGTTTGAATTAACATAATTCAAGCTGTTTTATATGATTATTAGCACATGATATATATATATATATATATATATATATATATATATATATATATATATATATATATATACTTATATATAGTTGCAGATATCTGAAAATTTCAGTGAACATTTAAAACAAAACTATGTTAACAATCACCCGATAAATTTGTCGTTGAATTTCCATTATTTGATTTTGATTAATTTGTCTTGAACACACTGTCAGATTATGAAATTTAGTATTGTATTGTGATTGATATAAACTTAGAGTTCATATAACCCTCATCAAAAAGATCAACTCTGTTGTTATCAGCATGCCTAAATTAACAATAGTTCTGAATTTGTATTGTTAATAAATGAAGTTATATTTATTACAGATTGGAAGACTAACTTAACTGATAGTTTCAACACTGTATTTTGTGAATTTTAGTACTTATTGAAATCATGAAGACATTCATGGTGCCACATGAATTTAAACCTGTGCTACTTGGCTCCTATATCATAAATATTACTAATGAGTAGCTCAAGTGTATCTTCCTATCATTTGTACAAGGGCCAAGTTCGTAGCTCTGTTACTAAAAACTAACCAATGTTTCAGACACTAACTTAGTGCTTACTGTGATTCATTAATAACATTTATGGAACCTCAAAGTAATGTACTCTTATTCACTCCGACAGAAAATACTGTCAAATGAATTTATTTAAATTTTTAAACTAAGTCATTATAATTCAAAGGAAGTCAGATTTACTACTATCAAATAAAATTGCAGTTCATGAAGTTTATTCAATGGGATATTCACTAAGTGAACCACTTTCAAAACTTATGTATGCATTTAGTTTGCATAAAAAATAACGAAGTATGATTGGATAATTTTTCATATTAAAACAGAGTGGTGTTGGAATTTTTGAAAAAAAAACTGAAAACTTTATTGGTGAAATATGGAGTAAGTAGTTTACAAAATCCACAAATAGTGAAGATCTTGGAAGCATGTCTGCTAAACAGAATTATTAAACAATAAATGACATATTCATGAAGAAAACTTGATTCAGTGAACCGTATTTCTTTCTTAATAACTCATTGGATTTCTTTAGTTAGTTCAGTAATTGTTATACTCTAATTGCAAACATTGAACTGACTTCTTTTTGACCAGTTCATCATATTCTTTTCAAGATTAAAATTAAACTTTAAGAATTAAGTTTATCAGGACGAATGTGATTTTGGAACTCTCTGATCATTTATTTTGTGGGTTGGTTGAGGTTAGACATTAGCACCGTTGGATGCAGGCTTAGTGGTCTAGACGTTAAGCGTTCGCGCGCGAGACCGAAGGCTCTGGGTTCGAGTCCCGCTAGCGGGATCGTGGACGCGCACTGTTGAGGAGTCCCACAATAGA